CTTAATCTATACATATATCAATTTCATCATTACAATAAATACCACAAAAATGATTGTGATTGACATGGATTCTTGTTCTAAGATGAATAGAGTATTATCAATTAATCCGATACATATTATTAAATAACTCTATTAATATTAACCGAAATATCATTTAACTGGAAATTTAATTTTTTTTTATAGAGATGATTAAATTAAACCAAAACAGAAGAATCCGATCGAAAAACATATATAGAAGCTAAAACAAATCTAGTATTTTGGATTGGGATAATATATAGATACTCTTGAACAAGCAAATCTGAAAATAATGTGTTCCAATGATTTTCATATTTAAAAATAATAATAAATTAATATAAAGATAAATATCAAACCCTATATATTTAAGGTAAGTACAATGATGAGAGACATTGTACATGTAAAACACTTATAATAATTATTAACTTTTGGATACATTAAATTATACAAAATACTTGAAACCAATAAAGTATTCATTTGGTAAATTCATGATACTTGACACAATGTTTATAAGTGAAATATATATAATTATTTTATTAATTATAAGAATATATTTTTATAATTATTTTGATATTTTAATTAAATATATATTGTTTAGGCAAGCTTATGATAAGTAGTATAATAATTAGTATTATTTGTGTGGGCGTGGAATTATTGGGGTTTAGTGGCCAGGGGAATGGGATTCTTTATGGTAACAGCTTGTAAAGTATCCAATTAGGTAAAGCTATGACCATGCATTAATTTAACTATATTTATATCTTCTTAAAGTTACTTTCTATATAAACTTTGTTCATTTTATATATATATATATATATATATATATATATGCAATTACCTATAAATTCTAACAACCCTTTTCTACACCAGTAACTATTGTTTTGAGATGAAACATCAGTCGAGTCATAAAACAAATAAACTCACATATCCTTCTCACATTTGATGAGGTTTGAACCTTAATTAACCTCTCAAGAAACCAAAGACTCACGTAGTACTAAGTTAAAGGCCGCATGATACATTTTAAGTTGGTGGGAAGATTGGAGAAAAACTAGTAGCTAGTAGAGGTTTTAGCATTTGGTTAATTTACATATAAAGAGAATTATGCTTAAGTCAATGCATGTTATGTGATTTGATATTTGAGTTGGTGGATTGGACATGTTGAATGTGGCTTTTTAGAGATCCCATTTGATTTCCACAACGTACCTCTCAGTTGAAAGTACACTTACATTCACAGTCTTTTTATTTATTTATTTTTACTTTTTTATAGGTTTTTTTTTCACTTAATTAATAGTTCTTTTAATATACTTATATATATATATATATTTATATATTTACACGCAAGTTTGACAATTTCCTTCTTGTTAATGAATATTGATCAATAAGAAGTGGACAAATGTTTCATGTAAATTGCAACATTTGATTTTTAAAATCTAATTTGAACCTTAATTATAAAGAGAAAACAAAGTTAAAATTGTGCAATTCATAACATTGACAATCATTTTGAGAACTTTTAACCAAATGATAGAAAACTTGAGAATAGATATGATGCATTATACACAAAGGGTAGATTTGAAAGTTTGCATAATTCAAAAGTACATAGTTACGGATAGTTGGATCATATTGTCGGTGTATACCGATAAAAATTCTAACTAAGAATGTGGATGCATCTCTTCTAGAGTTTTTTTTTGGGTATGTAGGATTGTGTAGACATATTAAATTGGTATATATCCATTTGATCTTATGATGATTATATGTTGTCACACCCCCTATTTCTCGTGGGGGCTAGCTATGACACCATACTATACATCAGTGCATCGAAATGCTAAAGAATCTAGCAATGATGATATATGCATCATAATATCTTAAAGTAACCAACTTTAAACATACCATAAAATGAGAGGCAAAATCTAAGTCTAGTACAAACACCATACTAAACTTGCATACACCATGAAATAGCATTATATGGCATTAACATTTTCTTTGCCTTTCCCAATGATGATCTTGTTACTTTCTTTGATTCATATCATTAATTAGTTGGCTAATACGTTTATAAGTGAGTTCATAGTTTTTCAAGTGAAACTTCATACAATTACAATATCCATAATATATGCCAACATGATTACATAAATGCCACATAGAAGCCATATCACACATACACTATGCATCATGTCATTTGACTTCATATTACCATAGTTTAACTCACCATAAGAACATACTAAACGTTTATTTATGATGTGTATTAGATGTGATATGTGACATGTTAGCTATATGATGGGTGAAGCGGATGATGAAAATAAGTGGGAATTAAAAGAAAATAGAAAATAGAAAATTGAATAATGGTTTGGGGAGAAATGGATTCCAAGTTTGACCGAGTGGAGTGGTGTCACGTGAGATGAAAGTGCGTGTAGCGTAAAGTGGGAGCGTATAGCTGTCGGCCACGAGGCTCTATCTTCTCCCTCTGCCTCCACCTTGGGAATTGTTTCTCGAGCCCTTAAAACCCGCCCTCAACTAACCCCCCCTCCCCCTCCTTTCAACTCACTCCAAATTGCTTCCTTCATTTCTCTCCTAAATCCTTAAATACACACACACAAGTTTTTAAACAAATATATGCAACCACCACTTATATTACATGCATGTGATAACGAGATGTTGTTTTATTGTTGTTTCTACAAAGAATAAGTCTTTTTTGAATCGAATTTTGAAACGGATATTAAAATACAAAATTTAGAATATGTTAAAACCAATTGTTTTATAATAATCAACTAATAAAAGGTAATTTAATTATTTTTATAATCCGACAAATTAAAGATACCAAAGATTATTAATACTTCAAATTTTAAATTATTTATGAAAATCCAAATCTTATATATATATATATATAGGCAAATAATTGGAAACAAAATCTGGTTTTCCCCTTTTGCACAAGAAGCACGTACGTATTTGTTGGAGTTGTTTTACTTAAGCTGGAAGAAAGCAGGGTGTTGGTCTCCTCCAATGGAAGAATACCCCCACAAATTTAGGCTCCTTCTCTTCTCTCCTCTTCTAAATTATACATGAATGATGACACCATCATATATACATACACACACATATACATATATATATATATATACACACACACACAGACACTAGGGATCATGTAATATCAGACTTTGAAGTTTCAAGTGTAAAAATATAATCTCATGAAATTAGATTGGTCTCACGTGAACCCAATACACACGCACACACTAATTGTATACCCGTTGTGGTGCAACGGAAACCAAGAAATAAAATCTAATGTAAATCTAAAATTTATATTTAAATAAAATAAAACTGCAAACTTTTGGAATGAATGCGGCTTCCATTTGATATATTATGTCCCAGTCAATACATTAAACCAGGGACAAGGCTAAAACATAATAAAACATCATAGTCATGTTATTTGAAATTATTTGCTTGAATAAATTTATGAACTTGGAATAGGGAACACTACAACACTTTTATTTCATATGCACCTTTTGAACCCACCTTGCGGTTGACATTACAGAAGGGTTTGCTGATAAGATCTTCTGCTTCTAAATAAAGGTGTGCGTCTTGAAGAACTTGAGATATGATTTCCAATGCACTATCTACAAATGTGACAAAAGTAAAATTCATAAGCTAACATGTACGTATACGTGACAGAAGATGATACAATTTCATGTATTCTTAACCCCACTGAAAACTTGAAAACTCCATCTAATAACAGATCTCTTAGTGATTAAGATTTTGACGCAAATTTTATTCATTAAATGGTAATAAATGCATGACAATGTGACATACTATTGTGCCTCGTAAGTTGTAATTCTAATAAGTTAAAGAGTGCTTAATAAGCACTAATAAAAAGCATCAAAGATACTTATAAGCGTCCTATTTTTCTGCAGTTGTTCTTGTCGTGTGTGTTTTGGAGCAACAGAATTTCCCTCAACTGTTGAATTGGAGACATTATCCACTGTCGAGAAATACTTCTCCTCTAGTACACTACAATCAAAAGGTTTATCAATCTGAAATCCGATAATCTCAAATGACCATATCTATCAAGTAGCAAATTATCAGGTTTGATGTCTCTGTTGCAATTTGATATAGCAAAAGAAATCAGATGTATTACGTGATAATATAGAACGAAGTACATAAAGCATACCAAACCAATTACAATGTACCTATTTACATATTATGTTTGTGGGTGGATTCAATGGCTAAAACTATTTCGGCAACATAAAATAAATCCAGCTTCGTCGTCACTCAACGTATCTTTTCTCATAAGTAGGGTCATCATGTGATTCATGTCTCCACCACGTAGATGTTCCATTATGAAATATTCATATTCGTTATCCTGGAAAGAACAATATAACTTGACGATGCAATTGTTGTCAACCTCAGCAATCATATTCCTTTCAACTTTCACATCCTCAACCTAAAACGGACTTAAAAACTAAGTACACATGAAAAATAAATGAATCGAAATATCACATCATTTTACAAAATCACATACTTGACCTCTAGGGAGCATTTTTGATTTCTTAAGTTT